ACACACTCACACACACACACACACACACACACACACACACACACACACACACACACACACACACACACACACACACACACACACACACGGCTCAGTTGGATGGTAGCGAATGTGTTTCCTGGCAGGGAGATAGTATGGCTGGAAATGCTTGCCTGGAGATTTGGCAGACTACAGTCTACCCACAAAAGGGAGATATGGCCTGGAGGAAGGCAACCTGGAAGGTATTGATTTGACTAAGCTAATTTGGCTGCACAGCTCAGCATGTAACAGCTTTATCAATAGGATGGAGTGCACCCCTCAGCTACAGGTGCCTATTTGCTCCTGGCTTATCTTGGTAATGGACTAACTGAACTCTTATTTAGTGCATGTGCATGCACCCCACCCTGAGCTCCCTGGATGTGGAGTATTCTTGGTCAGAATTTTCAATATTTACTGTCGGGAGCTATTCTACTGTACATAAATCAGTATTTCTTAAATGTTTTGAGACAACACCAAAAAATATTTTTATGTGGAACCCCTATGAAAATGTTCTTCTCCAAAAACAATTGTCAGACAAAAACAAAAGACATCGCGGCACACCCGTGAGTCGTTCATCGAACACCGTTTACGAAACACTGACATAAACTGAAGATGCATGAGGCCAAGACAGCTATGGTAGGTGGGAGGACTGTGTTCAAATCCATGCTCCATATCAAGTAGTATGAGTCTTCCACATTCTTTGAGTGTTCAAACCTAGGGAAGAGGGAGTGGGCTGTCCTACCTCTCCTTTCTGTAGGTAGCTATGCTACCTAATCAGTCCAGGCAAAATGAGCAAGGGAACATCTAGTTTAAAAATCCCCCTAGGACTTAGATTTGAGACAAGCAGGTTCATACCTGGATTCAAGCAACAGGTTTTTTTGTTTGTATTTTTTTTCTTTTTGCTTTGCCTTTTTGTTTCTGAGCCTTTAAGGTAAGTCATCTTAATACTTCATGTGTTACTTCTCCCAAAGAATGTGAATATCTAGACCAGTTATACATTCCTACAGTAGCTAATATGATTGTGGGTATCCTGCAAAGTGATTTCCCCTCCCTCCTGCTTGTCAGTGGAGCAGAGGAACTGGTTTTACGTGAACTATGTTATTACAGTGAGCCATATGATAGAATACGGACTAAAAGTACTCTTGTGCCTGGTGTTCAACAGTAAGGAGAAGGTCCATTCTTCCCCCTCCACCAGCACACACCCTGAGGATTTTCTGAAAGTATAAAGCAAGGTGTTGGGTGATCTTTAGTTTGGCCACCAAATCATCTTTCCCCTTGCTAAGAACACAGGCATGACCACAAATGAGGCATTAAAAAAAGAACACAGTCTACCGTACTGTAGCATAGGTGTAGCATGCATTTCAGGTGGCCAAATAATAATTACAGGCAGTCCCCGGGTTACATGGATCCGACTTACAGCGGATCCCTACTTACAAAAGGGGTGAGGCAACCCTGCACTAGCTGCTTTCCCCCAGCAGACCAGGGAGATGCAAAGCTAGCGACCCCTCCCCCAGCAGACCAGGGAGACGCAGAGCAGCTTTTCTCAGCAGACACCTCAGCTTGAGAATAAAGGACTGGGGAAGTGAGGTGTGGGAGAATAAAACTGAGCTCTGGAGAAATGTTTGGCTAGAGTTTCCCCTACAATATGTACCAGTTCCGACTTACATACAAATTCAACTTAAGAACAAAACTACAGTCCCTATCTTGTACGTAACCCGGGGACTGCCTGTATACTGAATCACTGCTTTATAAATCCCATAGCTCCTGGCTTTATTTCTGAACCAGCTGGTCCATTTCTCCTTGTTTCTGCTGCATTTTACATTTAGGTAGAGCTCTTCATTCCCGTATGCTCTGCACCCTGTGAGGTACTTATTTCGTATGTTTGAAGCCCAGTCAGATTTGGGACCAGGCGTTAACAGTGCACAATTGAAAATACAGGCAGTATGCAAATTAGGTAAATATCATTATAGTTTCTTCAGACTAGCCATATGAACACCTATGCTCATGTGAAACATGTACTAGGATAAGTAGTGATTGCAGTGGTCTTGTTTTGGGTTTAATTTTTTAGCCAAGGCAAACCTCCAACAAAAAAGCATGGGTGCATAGTTTCCATTGGACAGGGGCAAGTGGGGCATCTAATGAACTACAACTAGCATTTCCTGTTATGTTCTACTTGTTACTTGGAAATCTCTTGTTTATTCTAATTGTATTTGGCATGGCATTGCCAGCACTTAAACACACATAACTTTATGTGAGAGTAGGAAGAACTTGGGCATTAGTTTGTGTATTCAGCTACTCACAGGCATAAATGTTTGCAGGCCTGAGGCCTTTGATACTAGGATCTGTAGGATCAGAGCCAGGGCAGTAAGAACACAAATGTTAGGAATTAATCATTAACACAGCAGTGGTGGCTATGAAGTAAATTGCATAGTATGCATTTTGATTTGCATGTATTAAAATCTGTGTTGCAGGATTTTTTGCTTTTTTTTAAAGTGTCTTTAATTCTCCAGAAAAAAATAGTGCTATGAATACTGTGCTAAAAGTACATAAAAATCGAATTGCACCCAAATGTGCATTATTTAATTTTATTGTGTTTTGAGGTACTGCTTGTGTATGTTAAGCACATTCTAAGCAATCAACAAGGGAAATTCCAAAGGAGCTCTCATGTATGAATGCTAGGTAAAGCAAAACTAATTTTCCCCCAAAAGACATTGGTGTACAGGTATGTCTTTTTGAACATGCATACATTTTTCTACCTAAATGATGTTAGTAATATATCTTATCTCTTGCAATAAATAATCTTTCACCAAATTTCTGCTATTTCAAGATATTGTATAAGTTTGTATCTGCTCTGGACTAACCACATTTAATTAACAGTAATCAAGGAAGAAAGCCATTCAGCTGGCAAGCCAATCAACAGCCTAACCCTGAGAGTTAGGCAAAAAAGCACCACTACCACTGGACTTACCTAAACACTTAGGGTACGTTTACACTACAACGTTAATTCGAACTAACTTAGTTCGAATTAGTTAATTCGAACTAAGCTAATTCGAACTAACGGATCCAGACTAAAAAACTAGTTCGAATTAGCGTTTTGCTAATTCGAACTAGCATGTCCACACTGAGTGGACCCTGAACTGAGGTTAAGGATGGCCGGAAGCAGTGCCGGCAGGGCATCAGAGGAGGACTTAGAGCGTGGAGCTGCTGTCTCAGGCTAGCCGAGGGCTGTGCTTAAAGGGTCCCGACCCCCACCCCGGACACACAGTTCTAAGGGGTGCCCCGCTTGCAAAGCAGTCCTGGCTTGGAGTGCCCTGAGTGCCCACACTGGGCACATCACA